GGCACGCGCCACCATGCCCAGCTAATTTTTTGATTTTTAGTAGAGACGGGGTTTCACCATGTTGACCAGGATGGTCTCGATCTCTGGACCTCGTGATCCACCCGCCTCGGCCTCCCAAAGTGCTAGGATTACAGGTGTGAGCCACCGCACCCAGCCTTATTTATTTATTTTAAAGACGGGGTTTCACCATGTTGGTCAGGCTGGTCTTGAATTCCTGACCTCAGGTGATCCGCCCGCCTTGGCCTCCAAAGTGCTTGGATTACAGGCGTGAGCCACCACTCCCGGCCTCTTTTATTTTTATTATTTTTATTTTTATTTTTTAGGCTGCCTCTCAATCCCACAAGACAGGCACCTTCGTTTTCCATCTTCATTTTTAAGCTGAGAAACTGAGACAAGTTGCCCAAAATTACAGAGTTACTCAAAATTAATAGCCGAGCAGGTTGATTCTGATGCCTAAAGCTTTACCCAATCTAAGATTTGTTGTACCTGGAAGTCTTCTGGGTCTAAAGGCCAGACTATCTGAGTCCATGTCCTTACAGGGCTGCAGAGGAAAACAGAAATCATCATGAACACAGAACCTGTTACGTCACTGGTCTCCACTCACACACCCCTCCTGGCGGAGCTCCGGAATCTTTCCTGCTGAGCAGCCTGGAGAGTGTGTTGTGAGGCTGTGCATGTACAAAGCATGTCAGTTGCAAAGCCAAGCTGTCTATGTTTCAAGAGGTGTAAGGTTTCAGAAAGCCCATGAATGGGACGCCAGGGATGCTCAGACGGAGACCAATGCCATGGGTCAGCATGGGAGGCTCTGGCAAAGCCACACCGGCAGGCAATTGAGAGTGAGGCCACCGCCATAGCTAACCACTGGATGCCCCTTCAACAAGATACGGCGTGAATATCAAATGATGAAGAGAGCCTTCTGGGGAAACTGACGGCGCCCTTGCATGTTTTTGTAAAACAATCCTCTTCATCCTGGAGCTGGGACAATCACACACTGTGGCAAGGAGAACGTGTGGAGCCATCACACAGTTTGTCAGAAAAATTACAACCCTACCAAGTCGGCACTTGACTAATCCTTTGTTGGTTTCACAGATTAACACATAATGGCATTTTTACCTACAATTTAGTGAATATAAGATAAATTTAAGATACTTTCCTTTTTTTTTTTTTTTTTCATTTTTAAGATAACTCCTCAAACTCTGTGCCATGATTGGCATCATTACTATTAGATTCCCATTTTATGTGAATGCACTTGAGAGAGTCTTTCTTTCGATTTCATTTACCCTTTGGTACTGGAGAACATCAATGATGTGCAATGAGATCCTCCTCCATTCTTCTAGATATATAACTTCTGTCCATTTAGGCTGCCAGAAAGTCCCTGGACCACCACCTCAGCCTAGGACAACCTTCTACCTCTCATTTTTTTCCTACTGTCTTTATTTTAGATCTAGACCCAAATTGACCAAACAATCCCTAACATATGTAATTAACAGTGACATCAAAAACAACAATCCCTCACATATGTAATTAACAGTGACATCAAAAACAACATCCAGGCTGGGCACAGTGGCTCACACCTATAATCCAGCACTTTGGGAGGCCGAGGCAGGCAGATCACCTGAGGTTAGGAGTTTGAGACCAGCCTGGCCAATATGGTGAAACCTCGTCTCTACTAAAAATACAAAAATTAGCCGGGTGTGGTGGCAGGTACCTGTAATCTCAGCTACTCAGAAGGCTGAGGCAGGAGAATCCCTTGAACCCAGGAGGTGGAGGTTGTAGTAAGCCGAGATCGCACCACTGCACTCCAGCCTGGGTCACAGAGCAAGACTGTGCCTCAAAAAACAACAACAGCAAAAACCCAGCATCCATCTTGTTCTTCAACATCCCTTTATAAAGGTGATAAGTTTATTTCAGAGGGTTTTTTTTTTTATAGGGGACAGGATCAGATTTTTTGTGTCTATTTGCCTATAGAGAGGGAGAATGCACACACAGGTGAATAAAAATGAGTGAACCTCTTGAAGATTTTAGATGGCAAAGCAATACATTGGCAATTTGCTTGTGGGGTATGTGTGGGTGGAAGTGTGTTTAAATTTAGAAGCGGCAGCAACTTAAGACTTTCCTGGGAAATTGAGATACTTCCGGCTTTTTGAGTAGTAGAACCACGAAACTCATCATTCTTCCTTTTGTGTACTGGCTGCAAGAATGCTCAAAAATGAATTTCCTCTTGATTTATGTCTATTTTGAACATGTTCTGTATGCATGCCTTTTATTTCAGGCCTCCAGAAATCATCACTGGAGGAGCATGCTTCATCTGACTTGACCTGGATTGGATATGAAGTCATCAAGTCATGAGAAGAGGGAGTCAAGCTCTTCCTAAGGGCTGTAGTGGCATAGATGTCAGAGGTGTGTGAGCCACAGCAGCTCCAGCTTGAATAGGGGCTGGGTTAAATGAGGCTGAGACCTACTGGGCTGCATTCCCAGACGGTTAAGGCATTCTAAGTCACAGCATGAGATAGGAGGTCAGCAAAAGATACAGGTCATAAGCAGTCTGCTGATAAAACAGTTTGCAGTAAAGAAGCTGCCCAAAACCCACCAAAACCAAGATGGTGAGGAGATGACCTCTGGTCATTGTCACTGCTACACTCCCACCAGTACCATGCCAGTTTACAAATGCCAGGGCAACATCAGGAAGTTAATCTTAAAGGGTTTAAAAAGGGGAGGCAGAAATAATCCACACCTCGTTTGGCATATAATCAAGAAATAACCACAAAAATGGGCAACCCACAGCCCTTGCGGCCACTTTGCCTATGGAGCAGTCATTTTTTATTCTACTACTGGTGGAGGGTGTCCACGTTATTGACGTCTTGAACAAAGAAATGGATAAAACGCACAAAGTAGGCTGGACAAGGTGGCTCATGCCTGTAATCCCAGCACTCTGGGAGGCCAAGGCGGGCAGATCCCCTGAGGTTGCGAGTTCGAGACCAGCCTGACCAACATGGGGAAACCCCATCTCTCCTAATAATACAAAATTAGCCAGGCGTGGTGGTGCATGTCTGTAAGTCCAGCTACTATGGAGGCTGAAGCAGGAGAATCACTTGAACCCAGGAGGTGGAGGTTGCAGTGAGAGGAGATTGCACCAATGTACTCCAGCCTTGGCAACAAGAGCGAAACCAGGTGTGGTGGCTTACATCTGTAATCTTTGGGAGGCTGAGGTGGGCAGATCACCTGATGTCAGGAGTTCAAGACCAGACTGGCCAACATGGCAAAACTCCGTTTCTACTAAAAATACAAAAGTTAGCCAGGCATGGTGGTGCACATCTGTAATCCCAGCTACTTAGGAGGCTGAGGCAGGAGAATCGCTTGAACCCGGGAGGCAGAAGTTGCAGTGAGCTGAGATCATGCCGCTGCACTCCAGCCTGGGCGACAGAACAAGACTCTGCCTCAGAAAACAAAAAGCACAGAACAAGAAAAGAAGGAAGCAACGAAAGCAGAGATTTTTTTGAAACTGAAAGTACACTCTGCAATGTGGGAGCGGCAGAAGCATAGGGGCTCAAGTGCCCTGATACAGAATTTGTGGGGTTTAAATACCCTCTAGGGGTTTCCACTGGTTGCCTGGTGTCCCCCCTATGTAAATGAAGAGGAGGAAGCAAAGTTACAGAATCATTTACTCAGTGTACACCCTATGGAGAGGTTTTTTTTTTTTTTTTTTTTTTTTTTTTTTTGAGACAGTCTCACTCTGTCACCCAGGCTGGAGTGCAGTGGTGCAATCTTGGCTCACTGCAACCTCCGCCTCCCCAGTTCAAGTAATTCCCCTGCCTCAGCCTCCTGAATAGCTGGGATTACAGGCGCACGCCACCACGCCCAGTTAATTTTTGTATTTTTAGTAAAGGCCGGGTTTCACCGTGTTGGTCAGGCTGGTCTCGAACTCCTGACCTCATGATCCACCCGCCTCGGCCTCCCAAAGTGCTGGGATTACAGACGTGAGCCACCGCGCCCGGACTGGAGAGGATATTTCCTGTCATAACTGAAGTGTTCATTGGCCTTATGTACCCTGTCTCCAGACCCTATTATTCTACCTCAATTCCTTTACTTTTCTAAGAAACTTGCTTTCACTTTGTGGACTCGTCCTGAATTCTTTCTTGCATGCGATCCAAGAACCCCCTCATAGGGTCTGGATCGGAACCCCTTTCCAGTAATATAACAGAAAATACCGCCTTGACATGGCTGTCAGGAAACAACAGAGAGGCCTCTGAGGGTGGGGTTCTGAAGGGGTGCTGACCCCGCAAGGAAGGCTCTGGGGGCTCCAATCACTCTCAGCCACTGCGAAAGATGCCCGACTCTGCCAATAAAACTTCCAGCTTGGAGAAACTGAGGCTGAGCAGTAGGGGGTATGGGGGTCCCTGGAGGAACCAGAACCCATCCTGCTTCAGGGTGGGGCTGGTCCCCCCTTGGCCTTTGCCGGGGCTTCGCGTCACGGAGCAGTGGCTGAGGGTCGGTGTTCGAAGCCCACCGCAGCCCGCCAGCTGCCCAAGCGTGGCCAAGCTCTCTGCACCTGCACGCGTCTGTAAAACGGTGGATGAAACGCTTCTACCGACCCGGGTGGCTGAAATCAAACGAGTTACGGGTATAAGGCGCTGAGAACGATGCCTGGCACACAAACAGGCGTCCGCTGTGGGGACTAAATGCCTCCAGCCCAAAGCCGAAGGTCGAGCAGGGCCGGGCTCCCAGCGCAGGGGGTTCCCTTGCTACGCTTCTGGGGGTCCTGGACACAGACGTGGGGGACGGAGCTCTCACCAGCTAGGGCCCCGAAGGTCTACAGCTGAGGGGCTGATGCCCGGGGACGGAGGCGGTCGCAACGCCCCTTCCTGAAAAGAATGGGGTCCGGCTTTAAGGCGCCCCCGAGCCCTCCCGGCAGCGCGGAACCCGAGCAGCTCAGGAGCCCGGGAGCCCCACGTCTCGGGGACCGGAAGCGCCGCGGCCCTGACTTCCGGAAGGTGGACGAAACCTGCGGATGGGGGCGGGCCCGCGTCGCTCACGCAGAGCCACTTCCGAGCGCGCCGCCTGCTTGGTGGGAGCAGGTACTGGCGAGTCTCCCCGGGCGGTTGCATCCCGCGGTAGCGCTGCTGGTTTGGCCCCGCGTGTCGTGGGGGTCCCCGGCCCGCGGCTGTAGGGCGAGGGCGGCGGTGGCGGGGCCTAGGGGCAGGAAGCCACTGCCCGGCCTGGCAGTGTGAACATGCGAGTCGATCCGCTAACCCAGGAAACCCCTGGCACGGTCTATACGGGCAGTCCCGCTCCAGCCTGGGTTTTATTTTTTAGTGACAGATTCTCGCTCTGTCGCCCAGATTGGAGTGCAGTGGTGTGATCACGGCTCACTGCAGCCTCAACCTCCCGGGCTGAAGCGATCCTCCCGCCTCAGCCTCCTGATTAACTGGGACCACAGGTGCGCCGGGCCGATTTTTAAATTTTTTTGTAATTTTTTTTTTAGTAGAGATGGGGATCTTGCTATGTTGGCCAGGCTGGTCTCGAACTCCTGGCCTCAAGCTGTCCTCCCGCCCCGGCCTCCGAAAGTGCTGGGATGACAGGCATGAGCCACCGTGCCTTGCCCCTCCTTTTGAATGGACCTCCTTCCATTTCTGTTTCAGTGCCCGGTGCTTCATATCCGTACATAATCCGTTTAACTCTTTTTTTCTCCTTTCTTTTTAACCTAAATCAAAGGTGCCATTGAAGAGCCCCACAATGGAAGATAAGCCGTTGGTGATATCGAAACAGAAGACGGAGATGGTGTGTGGAGTCCCCACCCAGGTTGTGTGCACAGCCTTCAGCAGTCACATCCTGGTGGTGGTGACCCAGTTCGGGAAGATGGGTACCCTGGTCTCCCTGGAGCCCAGCAGCGTGGCCAACGATATCAGCAAGCCTGTGCTCACCACAAAAGTCCTTCTGGGGCAGGATGAGGTAAAGTGGATTGGCCGGGAACCGTGGCTCACGCCTGTAACCCTAGCACTTTTGGAGGCCTTGGTGGGCAGATTGCTTGAGGACAGGAGTTTGAGACCAGCCTGGGCAACACAACAATGCACACAGAAGTCTCTACAGAAAAACAAATGCCTACAAAAAATAGAGAGGCCAGGCGCAGTGGCTCACACTTTGGGAGTCTGAGGTGGGCGGATCACTGGAAATGAGGAGTTCTAAACCAACCTGGCCAACATGATGAAATCTCATTTCTACTAAAAATTAGCTGGGTGTAGTGGCGCATGCCTGTAATCTCAGCTACTTGGGAGGCTAAGGCACAAAAATCGCTTGAACCCAAGAGGCAGAGGTTGCAGTGAGCCAAGATCATGCCACTGCATCCCAGCCTGGGAAACAGATCGAGACTCTGTCTCAAAAAAAAGAAAAGAAAAAGAAAAGAAAAAAATTAGTTGGGCATAGTGGTGAGTGCCTGTGGTCCCAGCTACTTTGGAGGCTGAGGTGGGAGAATCGCTTGAGCCCTGGAGGTGGGGGCTGTAGTGAGCCTTGATTGTGCCACTGCATTCCAGCCTGGATGACAGAGCAATAGTCTGTCTTTGAAAATAATAATAATAGGCCAGGTGTGGTGGCTCACGCCTATAATCCCAGCACTTTGGGAGGCCGAGGCAGGTGGATCACAAGGTCAAGAGATCAAGACCATCCTGGTCAACGTGGTGAAACCTCGTCTCTACTAAAAATACAAAAATTAGCCGGGCATGGTGGCGCGCACCTGTAGTCCCAGCTACTTAGGAGGCTGAGGCAGGACAATTGCCTGAACCCAGGAGGCGGAGCTGGCAGTGCGCCAAGATCGCGCCATTGCACTCCAGCCTGGGTAACAAGCAAAACTCCATCTCAAAATAATAATAATAATAATAATAATAATAATAATAAAGTAGTCAGGAAGGGACCCCCAGGGAGGAGGAAAAAGCCCTTCATTGGCTGTGATTTGTTGTTAAGGATACGGGCAAATCCCCTTACAGCAACAGCATTTTCCGGGCACTCATGAGTCTCAGGGCACCCTGCTTGCCCTCGGCAGATGCTTCGTCCAGCCCACAGGCATTTTATTCAGCAGACAAGCAGAGATACCAATTTTGTCATTCAGGCCGCCTCCCCTGCCATGATTCATTATGTGAGCAGGTGGCTGGCTGTGTCCTGCTCTGCTCTGCAAAGATCACATGTGAGATTCGGCAGCATTGCCTCCACAGGCTTGTCTTTCCTGGGTTCTTTTAGATGGGAGTCATCCAGAAGAGACAGGGCTGCAAAGGCGCTGAGAGAATGAACAGAATGACGCGTGTTTAGCAGTGTGTTCCTGACTGGAGTGTTCTGAGTACTGCCTGAACTCTGAGTCACTGTGGCATGGACTTAACATGGTGGTGGTTAATGGTGGTATGGGAGGCCCATCTGGGTTCCTAAGGGATACTTTATGAAAGCATTGAGGAAAAGACCAGGTTTCTTGCAGTTGAAATGGTTTCTTCTCCCTCCTTTCACAGCCTCTCATCCATGTCTTTGCAAAGAACCTGGTAGCGTTTGTGTCCCAAGAAGCTGGAAACAAAGCAGTCCTCCTCGCCGTGGCCATGAAGGACAAAAGCATGGAGGGGGTTAAGGCGCTGAGGGAGGTGATCCGGGTGTGCCAGGTGTGGTGACCTGGAGGCAGCTGCCCCTCGCTGCTCAGCAGGACACGTGGGGACGCAGACACCCACTCAGGGACTCAAGTCTTGCCTCCCTCCCTGGTGGAGGGAGGAACTTTGTCTGGCACTAGCCCTTGGAGCCAGGAAAAATATTTGTGTCTCAGGCAGACTCTTACTCTGGTTACTGAGATTATCTGTGCATGGGGGGAGAGGCAGAGCATAGAGAGTGTCCCGAGGGAGTTGTGAATGGATCTCACTGGGACCTGAGTCATTGCTCGTGTTTGAGAATTGGAGGAATGAGTCAGCAGGCCTGGCTCATGGCTGCCCGTGTGCAGGATCAATTTTAGGAGAAAATTTCTTTTTTATTAAAAGCAAATATGTATCCCAGAATACTTCACCGGCCTCCTTAACAATGACGAGACCCCGCAGTGGCACAGCATGAGTTCAGTTTCATGTTCTTCACTGGGAAGGAAAACTTGTTGGGTGAAAACACAGAGGGATGTCGTTCCCGGCCACTGCGTGGATCCCAGGCGTGGGCCTGTGCATGCTTTCACCCTGCTCCTCCTGCCCTGACTTCTCTGAGCCCGCTGGGAAGCTGGTGGCTGTCAGCGGACGTTTCTATCTTTCTGTGTGTGCCCGTTACTGTGCGGCAGCTGGGAACAGATGCTGGCCTCTGAATCCTGAATGGCAAGGGTGGAGGGACGCTTCTGTCAAAGGAGCCTCCTGTGCAGAGATCAGGAGGGAGGAGCGAAGCAGGGCAGGGCGGGGCACTGGGGTGGGTCGCCAGGGGTAGGCAGCTGGGGTGTGGCTGAACATGACCTCCCTGTGGGGGAGGCAGGGGTCCTGCTGTGCTGAGGCCACAGGACTTAGTCTTTTGGGGAGCAGTGCTCACAAGCGTTGGCAGAGCCTAGAGCCAGGAATTGGCTTCAGGATGCATTTACGCCCCTGACAAGTGGCAGCCTGGGCTCTTCCTCCAGCTGCTTCGAGGGAAGCTTCGCTGATCACGCCCAGGTTGGAATTTCTGAAGCCAGAAGTCGAAGCTTTGGACCACTCGACTGGCAAGTCTCGTGAGAAATGGGCAGCTGGAGAGTTGGGGTGGGTGACGGGACCTGGAAGCAGAAGCCAGGCAAGGCCCTGGGGCGGAGCGAGCGCCCGCATGGCCCTCCGGGGAATCGGGGTTCCCTGTCCTAGATACCTGTGAAGAAACACCTTAGGGGCATCGGGTGTTTGTGGAATTAGAAAGAAATATTTTCTTTTTTTTTTTTCAGTAGAGACTGGTCTCACTGTTGAGCAGGCTGGTCTCGGAACTCCTGGCCTCAAGTGATCCTGTTGCCTCAGACTCCGAAAGTGCTGGGGTCACAGGCATGTGCCCTATTTCTTTCCTTTTTTTTTCTTTTTCTTTTTTTTTTTTTTTTTTTGACACGGAGTTTCACCCTTGTTACCCAGGCTGGAGTGCAATGGCGCGATCTCGGCTCACCGCAACCTCCGCCTCCTGGGCTCAGGCAATTCTCCTGCCTCAGCCTCCTGAGTAGCTGGGATTACAGGCACGTGCCACCATGCCCAGCTAATTTTTTGCGCTTTTAGTAGAGACGGGGTTTCACCATGTTGACCAGGATGGTCTCGATCTCTCGACCTCGTGATCCACCCGCCTCGGCCTCCCAAAGTGCTGGGATTACAGGCTTGAGCCACCACGCCCGGCTTCTTTTTTAATTATTATGTCTATTATCACATTCTAAACCCCTGCTTGTTTCTTTTTTTTTTTTTTTTTTTCTTTTTTTGAGACAGAGTCTCTTTCTGTTCCCCAGGCTGGAGCACAGTGGTGCAATCTTGGCTCACTGCAACCTCCGCCTCCCAGGTTCAAGTAAGTCTAAGCTTCCCGAGTGGCTGGGACTACAGGCCTGTGCCACCACCTTTGGCTAATTTTTTGTATTTTTTTTAGAAGAGAGGGGGTTTTACCATGTTGATCAGGCTGGTCTTGAACTCCTGACCTCAAATGATCTGCCCGCCACAGCCTCCCAAAGTGCTGGGATTACAGGTGTGAGCCACCATGCCCAGCCTAACTCCTGCTCATTTCTAATAGCTTCTGAAATCCTGTGATTTTCTTTTTCTTCTTCTTCTTTTTTTTTTTTTTTTTTTTTGAGATAGGGTCTCAGTCTGTCAACCCAGCTGGAGCACAGTAGAGCAATCTCAGCTCACTGCAGCCTTGACTCCCAGGTTCAAGCGATCCTCCCATGCTCAGCCAAGCAACCTGAGTAGCTGGGACTACAGGTGCATGCCTCATTCCTGAAGTGCCTAATTTTTGAATTTTTACTAGGGATGAGGGTCTCACTGTGTTGCCCAGGCTGATTTCAAACTCCTAGACTCAAGCTATCCTCCCACCTCAGCTTCCCAAAGTGCTGGGATTATAGGTATGAGCCATGACACCTGGCCAATTTTCTCAATATTAAAAACCCTCGAGGACAGGTGATGGGAAGGACCGTTTCAGACTACTGGTCCGATTTCAAAGGAGTTTGGAAGGTGAGTTTGCTAAAGATGGGACAGAAGGAAACTGACTCTTCAGGGGCTCACTTCTTCAGCAAGGGCCTTCGGAGTGCCCAGTGTCATGCTGCCTGCTGGGTCACCCACAGCCGTGGTCCCTGTCCCTGTGGGTTCACAGTCCGGTCGGCTATCAGACAACCTTCGCATGAGAAGAAGAGAGCAGCAGAGCCCTATGTGGGGATCCTGGCAGACTTCCTGGAGAAGGTGCTGCCCCCATCGTCTACTCGTCTACATGCAGCAGGGACACAGTGGATACTGAGGCAAACCCAGCCCCGCCAGATAGGACTCTCGGGCAGGCATGCATCAAGGTCTGCCAGCCCCTCATGAAATCCTACATTGAATCCCACTTGGTGTCTGCCTCCTGGGGGGCCTGAACCTACAATTTTAAGGGCCATAAAAGAGTGGATGGAAGGAAAAAGGAAGGGCCATCTGCACATGAGTAAGGCCCCAGCGGGTAGCAGGTGTGTCAGGACAGGTGCAGGGACTCAGGATCACTACCAAAGGAAGGGGACCTGCGGCGCGGGTGGGGGGCCCGGCTTACCGAGGGCTCAGCCTTGAACCAGAGGCCAGGTCATGGTGTCAGCAAATGAGTAGAGTGGGTGCCCGGGCAGAAGCCTTGCTGTTTGGTATTAGCCTGTAATTACTCACACTTGTCTAAAAGTCAGCCATTTTTGCTGAGCGTGGTGGCTCATGCCCCAAATCTCAGCTACTTAGAAGGCCGAGACGGGGAGGATGGCTTGAGCCTGGGAGTTTGACCTCAGCCTGGGCAATGAAGCAAGACCCCATCTTAATACATACTTGCCTGTCTCTACAAATAAAAACCCGACAGTTTTGTTGAAGAGCCGCAGTTTCACTCATTTAACCAGTGGGGACACGGCGTGGACAGTGCTCCAATAATCATCCGGATGCGGCTCTGCAGGTTGCACCTCCTGACCTGTCCCTTAGTGCTAATGGTGGACTGCCGGCCATGGGATCGCCCTTCCCACCACGGCCACCCATTCAGGCCTCGCCTCATGAGTGGCCCCCTGCGTTTTCCATACACGGAAGTAGGCACAGAGAGGCCGCACCCCAAGGTGGAGAAGCCGGAATCACCCCTGCGGGGTACCCTGGAGCCCCTGTACCCCAGTCACAGACCCCGTGGTTCTCCTTCATGGCTTCCTTTTTTATTTTTGAAACAGAGTCTCATTCTGTCACCCAGGCTGGAGTTCAGTGTGGCTCAATCTCAGCTCACTGCAACCTCTGTCTCCCTGGTTCAAGCGATTCTCCTGCCTCAGCCTCTCGAGTAGCTGAGATTACAGGCATGCACCACGACATATGGGTTTTAGTAGAGACAGGGTTTCACCATGTTGTTCAGGCTGGTCTTGAACTCCTGACCACAGGTGATCTGCCCACCTCAGCCTCCCAAAGTGCTGGGATCACAGGCGTGAGCCACTGTGCTGGCAATGGCTTCCTTTTCTTTCACGCCGCAACTGCACCAGGAAAATCGTTCCCGCCAAAGCCAAGGTCAACTTTGCATCCGTGGGTGCCCAGTCTGGTGCAGCACTCTGTTTTCGGGAGAGCATTAGCTCCTGAGAGCCAGGCCCAGGAGGCCTGTCCCATCTAATTGAGTCCTTGTGACCACCCTTCAGAGGTAGTCTGTGGAGGCCAGACATGGTGGTTCACACCTATAATCCCAAAACTTTGGGAAGCCGAGGCGGGCAGATCACCTGAGGTCAGGAGTTCGAGATCAGTCTGGCCAACATGGAGAAACCCCATGTCTACTAAAAATACAAAAAGTTAGCCAGGCGTGGAGGCAGATGCCTGAGATCCCAGTACTTGAAGTCCAAGGCAGGCAGATTGCTTGAGCCCAGGAGTTCAAGACCAACATGGGGAAACCCCATCTCTATATTTTAAAAAGCATATAAAGACAAAAATGAATTTCATAAAAAATAATAAAGTAGTCTGTGGAGAAACTAAGGCTCTGGAGGGGTGGGCACTAAGGCTCTGGAGGTTCCTGGGACGTCCACTCAGCTCTGCCCCGTGTCTTGTGCAGGGTCCCAAAGCCACCCACCTTGAAGGCGGTGCTGAAACCGGTGTGTGATTGAGAGTGGACTCGCAGCGCCCTCCTGAGGTCCTTCACAGCCGCCTGGCAGCCATTAGCAACACGGGCCGAGGCTAAGCGCCTCCGCCATCCTGCCAACTTCTCTGCTATAAATCAGATGGCAGCAACTGTGGAAGGGCCTTGGCCCTCTGCTTTCTGGGGCCCACTCTCAGCCTCATAACTCAGGAGCCACCCCTGCTCCAGCAAGGAGCTCTGTGGAGCCGGCCGTGATCGCAGGCAGGGCCATCTGCTATGGGGATTGCTGCTCCTTTCAGAGTACGAGCTGCCTGTGGCACTTACCCGCAATCCAGCTGTAATCACAGCTCCCAGAAACTCACAGCCCACTGTAAGTAATGAACACGGGGCCTGTGGCAGCCACTGCAGCTGAGACAGTGGACAGTGTTCACTCTTTAAGGCAATGCCCTTGCGCCAGCACGGTGCAACTTCCAGCACTGTTTTCTGCTCGGCTGCAAGGGAACCTCCCCAAGTCTCCCCACCACCCCCTTTTCCGAAGTGGATGTGGTGACCTTGAAGGCCAAAAAGAGCCAGTGAGAGGACTGTTCTTGGCTCTTGTTTTCACGTGGCTTCTCCAGGGTGTTGATGAGCCCTGGCCCATGTGGACTGATGATGACAAATGACCCGTGAAGGGGGACAGCGGCATGGGGGGACCAGCGGAGTGAGTGGCCTCGGTTATCTTGTTGAGCATCTGGGAATGCAATTGGAACAGGAACCCTGGGTAAGTGACTGGAATGAGGGCCTGACCGAAGGAAAT